TTACTGACACCATCATCCAGAAGTGCAATGTGCTAGAATAGAGACCTAGGGAGAAAAAGCCATGGGGATGTAGAAGGGAAAACCAATGACCACAGATTCTGTTTGTTTTCTGTACCTTAATTTTGAACCACTTAGAAGAAAAGCCAATGGAAAAAAAGAATTAGATTGTACAGCTTCAGTAATATTTGGCAGACAATGAAGTCAACCAACGCAACAGTATAAGATGAAAATAACCCAGGATGGAACCTTCATGAGTTCCAAAATTTATAAGTCGACTAGACAAAGAGTCAGAAAAAGATCACTTAAAAGAAGCAGAGAGAAAAGTCAGTGGAACACCAGAACGAATATGATTTCACTAAAGCCAGTCAACATGAGAAGGGGATGAGGAACTAGCGAAAAGGTCAGTTAGAGTTGAATCAACTTGGTTGTAACACATTTGTACATAGAAGCAATGCTAGGAATCTCTCTGTATAGCTATCCTTAACTCAACTAGCAAAAAAGCTTTGTCTTTCTTATGTCTTCTCTTCAACAAAATTAGAGATAAGGGCAGAATAGGTTCTGCCTGGAAACGAGGTGGGGAGAAATGGCCCAAAGAATGTATGCACATGTGAATAAATGAATAAAAATAAGAAAAGTATGATAAACTAAGCCCATGGTATAGAGAAGTCTAAAAATTAGGATTGAAAACTGGCCACTGAATTTAAAAATGAGAAGTTCAGAATAGAGAAATTAGCATCTTTGACTTAATTATCAAAATGCTTAAGGCAATGGTTTTAGGCTCGTACCACCATTGTACTTAGAATGTGTGACATAAACTTAAGCCTAATATGTCTTCATAGAGTGTAAAAACATTTCAAGCACCACTTTTCTTTATTTAGTGAGACAAGTGTTTAAAATATCTTTAAGATATTGGGGTGTCACAAGAGAGACGACACAACTCAGAAGTCAATAGGCAAGGCAAAATTTACTTCCTATGTCTTCATAGAGTGTAAAAACATTTCAAGCACCACTTTTCTTTATTTAGTGAGACAAGTGTTTAAAATATCTTTAAGATATTGGGGTGTCACGAGAGAGACGACACAACTCAGAAGTCAATAGGCAAGGCAAAATTTACTTCTGTGGAAGGGTGCACACCAGGAAGTCTGGGAAGCAAGTGCACTGGGTGGGAAGTCCACTGGACTTTTATCTCATGTTGCCCTCCCCTACCCCTGGATTGGGTAGGTTTGGGGCTCATGGTCTATGCAGTTGGCTAATTAGAAAGAGGCCAGGTTGGGAGGGGGCTTTGGGAGCAAAGAAGTTTAAAAGTTCAGGGAAGCAAAAATTGTTTTAGGTTATCAGCTTTGGACCCAGAGCATCTAGAATAATTTTTGTCCTGGCCCAGCTGAGGACAACAACCCTTTATTCTTAACAGAAAATTTTTTCAGATTAAGCTGAGTCCACAAAGCAACCATATGGAAAGTGAGTTAGTAAGGCAGTTATTACTGATTAAATTCTTTGATAGAAAAGACCCGACCTAAGCTGATTCTTACAAGGTCTTGTTATGCAGCCAAGACTGATCTCAAACTTATGATTCTCCTGCCTGAGCCACTGAGTGCTGAGATTACAAGCGTGTGAAACCTTACCATGTACCTATTCTTCATTAGATACAGAAAGGTAATTTATTAAGCATTTGAGTGCCAACTTGTATACTTCCCTTATATAAATCTTCCCAGTTAATCCTCATATTGGCAAACAAATGAGATAGGTATTGTTCTCCCCCACAGCCTTATGAATATGATAATTGAGATTTAAAGGTGGCTTGCCTTGGTTCACAAATTTGTAAAATTTCTACATGGCTTGCAGTCCATCCCAAATTTCCCAGATAGTGCTGATTTCAAAATATTATTCTTATTTCATTATTATGTTTTGGCTTATGAGTTTATTCCTACTAAAAATATTAGTTCTATGAGTGCAGAAATGTTAGTGACCTCTCAATGACTAAAATAATTTAATGAATTGGGAGTTATGTTTTTCAAAAGAAAGAAGAAAAATAGAGGGGATGAACCAATTTGGGTTATAATGCATATATATATGGAAATGTCACAATGAAACTTTCTGTCTAGCTATCTTGTTTTTTTTATCCTGTTAAACAAACAAAAATGCCTTTTCACAAAAGCGGAGAACAGGAAGGTAAAACAGGTCCTGTCTGGGGAGTTGTACCAGTGGGAGGGGGAAGAATATAAGGAAAGGGTGTAGGAAGATAAATATAGTGGAAATATTATGTACTCATGTATGAAAATGGAAAAATGAGACATGTTGAAACTATTTCAGGAACGGGGGGAGGGAAGGGGTAAAGGAGAATGACGGAAGGGTGAATTTAACTATAGCATATTGTAAGAACTTTCGAAAATGTCACAATGTATCTTCAGTACAATAATATGATAATAAAAATTTAGGCCATGATGCAGATATGTGAGCAAAACCTGAGCAAGGCAAGATGCTGAACCTCATAAGGAGAAAAACAGACAAGGCTAAATCTCTCACCAGTTCAACTCACCTGGCCTTCTTACAACCTGCCATGCAGACAGCAGCAACAGGGCTGGAACCAGTACACAGGGAAGAGCCATCAGCTCTACCTGAAGTCACTGAAGAAGATCTCACAGAGATGATACTGTAGCTGATCAAAAACGTGAACTAGCAATTGACCAAAATTGAGGATGATCTTAGACACTTGGAAGGCTGAGATCAGGGGGACTGTGGTTCAAGGCCAACCTGGGAAAATAGTTTATGAGACCCCATCTCCAAAATAACCAGAACAAAATGAACTGGAGGCATGGCTCAAGCAATAGAGCGGCTGCTTTGTAAGTGTGAAGTCCTGAGTTCAAACCCCAGTCCCACAAAAAAAAAAGTTGAGTAGGATCTGATTATTAAAGCTACTTCACATCAGGAGCAAAGATGTGGAGCTACATTATCAAGGGTTTTCTTTTACTTATGATTATTATTAATTGTCAACTTCGGAGCACCCAGATTAGTGAAAATCTCCTCTAATGTGTCTGCGATGGCATTTCCAGAGAGGATTAACTAAGAGGGGAAGACCTGTCCTGAATGCAAGCACCAGCATCCCATAAGTTGGGTGCCCTGATGCAATTAAAGGGAGAAAGCGAGAAAGACAGCTAGTGCAGGCATATTCTCTCTCTGTCTGTCTGTCTCTCTCTCTCTCTCACTCACTCTTTCTCTCTCACTCTCTCTCTCTCTGTCTCTCACTCTCTCTCTCTGTCTCTCTCTCTCTCTCTCTCTCTCTCTCTCTCTCTCTCTCTCTCTCTCTCTCTCTCTCTCCTCTGCTTTCTGACTGTCATAATGTGAGCTGAGCTGCTGTGCCACACCCTTCCTGCCATAAGGGACCAAAACCATGAGACAAAATAAATCTTTCCTCCCTTTAAATTGTTTAAATCAGGTATTCTGTCACAGGAACAAAAAACTAACACACTTTTATATTTATTTTTAACTGAATATTGACAAATTATAATTACATATACTTGTAGGATAAAAGGGATTCTATGACTACATTATACAATGTAGGATGATTGACTCAAACTATCAACATATCCATCACCTCAAATACTTATGATTTATTTTTTCTGTATAATTGAAACATTGTACCCTTTGGCCATCATCTCCCCATTCCTACCACTCCCCTGGCTTTCTCTGATAACCACCATTCTATTCTCTGCTTCTATGAGTTTGATTGGTTTAGATCGCACACACAAGTGAGATCATGTGGCTATTTCTGAGCCTGGATTATTTTACTTAGCATAATGTCTTTCAGTTCATCTATGTTGCCACAAAGTATATAATTTCCTTCATTTTTAAGGCTAACTAGCGTTCCATTCTGTTCCATACACAACGGGAATGTGATTACATATATATAGATAGATAATGTCAATATATATATCTATATCTATAGATATAGATATATATATATCATATCACTGATATGTAGAGAGTGTAATGTGATATATAGATATATATCATGTCAATGGAATATATATGTCGATGGGTATTTATATATATGTCAAAGGATATACCTATAGATACATTATATCATGTCACTGATATGTAGACAGTGTTCTGTGCCTTATCCTTCTGGATCACACTGTGCCCAATGTCACTGCCTATGGCCATCACAACCTCGGTGGTGATCCCAGCAATCCAGTACCTCAAGGAAGCTCTCCTGAAGTTCTATTGCCCCTGCACCCTGGGGTGAGGAAAACCACCACAGAATCATCTTCCTCCATTTCCTGCTGGCCTCCAGGTTTTGGAAGAGAAATCCAATTCTTCTGGAGGAAATGATGACAAAAGGCACCTTACTATATTTTTAAAAGAGGACACCACTACCTTAAAGTGAGGGTCACATATGTTGTACCATCCTTTGGAGGCCAGTCAGAACTTAAAGCAAAAGTGATATATTGCGTATAGACCTCTAACAAAAAGTAATCTATATTGTGGGTAGACTTCAAGTGGTCTTTAAGAACCAAACGCATCCCACATTCTCCAACGAAAACCTGAAAGAATATTGAAGCATCTTACAGATTTTAATTTCTCAAAACCTAAACACTGATCTCCATAACCACACAAGCAAAGGACTTTTGGGATCCTTCTTTTATTAAAGTGGGAAAAGTCCTGGAGGCCAAAAGGTGAGACGACTACGTGGGTGGGGCCCAGCACAGTTGACCCATTTCTCCCTCTGGCCTCACAAGGAGCCACTGTGAGGGAATCACCAACAGCATGCATATAAGGGAGTGGCCTGGGCTGGATTTTTGTCCTTCTAGTGCAGAAAGCTCTTGGTTAGTGCTTGTTTGAGGTGATTGGTTCTGGTGATTTGGTTCTTTGGTTAGGGTTTTTATTCTTTATTGTTGCTTATTTTTTTCAGTTTTTTCATTTTCTTTTCCATCTTTTTTTTAATAGAAAAAGAGATTTCTTTTTTCTCTTTTAGATAGCATTGTTAAGTGTTGCTGTCTAGAATGACTAGCGAGAATAGTAAGGAGATAGAGGAGCACAGCTTTGAGGCCAGATCCTCTGATGAGGCAACTCTCAGTGCTCAGTACAGGGTCCTGGGGAAGCTCGGGCAGGGTAGGTATGGCCAGGTGAGACTGGCCTACCACCGCCTGACCGGAACTGACGTGGTGGTGAAAGAACTTAAGAGGGGAATGTACAACTTCCTGATTGCGTCTGAAGTGGCCCTGATGAGGGTGCTGGAGCATCCGCACGTGGTCCGGCTGTTCCAAGTTATAGAGGCAGGCCAGCACATCTACCTGGTGATGGAGCGTGCTAGCGGAGGGACGCTGTGGCGCATCCTCCTCTCAGGCCACCTGAAGGAGAAGAAGGCCAGAAGGATGTTCCAGCAGCTGGTGTGGGCCGTGGGCTACTGTCACTCGAGGGGCATAGCTCACAGGGATCTCAAGCCTGACAACATCCTCCTGGACGAGGCGGACAACGTGAAGCTGGCCGACTTTGGCCTGGCCACCTGGTTCATGCCCGGCCAGAAGCTGGAGCAGGTGTGCGGCGCTTTAGCATTTAGGGCCCCAGAGATTTATCTGGGCCGAAAATACGAGGGCCCCCAAGTAGATGTGTGGAGCCTGGGAATCATCCTCTACTTCATGCTCGCGGGGGCACTCCCCTTTAAGGGCACCACCTTTGGGCAGCTGAAGATGAAGGTCCTGAAGGGGAGGTATGCCCTCCCCTACCACCTTTCAGCTTCAGGGGGGAATCTCATCCACTGCTTGCTGAGCCACGACCCCGCGCGAAGGCCCACGGTGGAAGATGTCCTGCTCCACCCCTGGCTCAGCAACACGAAAGAATGCCCCCCACGGACTCATTCCAGCCACATGCTCCCCAACCACCTGGACCCCAGCACCCTGCTAGTCATGACAGACATGGGTTTTGACCCTTGCCAGCTACGAGACGCAGTCCTTCACAGGCAATTTAACCAGGCCGCCTGTACTTACCTCATGCTCCAGCGCCAGAAATGCCAGGGACTTGGTGGCACCCTCCGACTGAAGCCGGTACCCTGGAGGCCTGCGTCCTACCCTTCCCCAGCACATCTTTCCACCTTCTCTCCTGCCCTAAAGAAGAGTGCCAGTGCACCTACCCTCCGCCTCATCACCGCAGTGCCCCCTGGGTACCAGTCAGAGGAGAACTCCTGGTCATGCAGGGAGAGCCTCTAAAGAGACAGGTCTGCCACTCACCACTTCGTGTTTCTGAAGTGGAGCCTCACTCCCAGAAAAGGCCTCCAGAGTGCTCCCGCAGCCGCCCCCTCCCGCTCTTCCTCCTCCCTCCCCAAGAGCAGCAGTGAGGGCCACACAGACAGCAGCATCTCATCCCACCCTGCATCCCTCAAAGAAAAAGATGTCCCCAAGGGACAACTCCATGGTGTGGACACACCCTCCCTTTGTGTCACAGATACACCCCCACACACAGGGAAAACCCCTGGTAGGCTCTCACCCTCTACCCCCTCCACCAATGACAAGCGCCAGGGTTGGAAGGCAGTGACCAAGAGGATTGCCAACTGTATTCTGAGGATGTGTTGCTGCTGCTGCCTGCCAGGAAAGACAGGTCCTAGTAACGGAGTGACACCGGGGAGAGGGATTATCACCAGACACAGACAGCAAGCCAAGTAGGTGGTCGGTCCGGCCCTGCTTCTGCATTTGATTTTGATCTGTGCTTTAAGTAACGTCCTTTCAGTTCACAAATAGTTGTCCACATTTATGGGTATGATGCTGTGTTCAGCGTTATTTCTGTAGCACAACAGCGGGATAATTAACTTATGCTACTTAAAGCATCTGGCATATCCAAAAGACACTGCCCCCGAGCCCCCAACGCCACTTCGGTGGTGGAATCTGTGAACGTCCAAGTAGAAGTTGAGTAGAAAAATAGTTACCAGAACTAGAGGAGGGGAGAGGGCAGAGGAAGAGGGGAGTCATTGGTCAAATCAGTTTGGAGGTCTATTGCACAGCAGGGTGACCATAGTCAAGAGTGAAGTCCTGTATAGTTCAGTCACTTAGGTGTCTTTCATGTGTCTCCCTGTTTTTTAAGTAGATGCTGACTTCAAGGTGTGGGCGATCAAACAGCTGCACATGGAGAGAGCTGAAGACTGCCCTGGGCTCCTTCAGAGGGGCAGGGGTTCCAGTCAAGAGGGCAACCATCACCTGCTCTAGTCTTCCAAAGCATCTCCAGAGGAGTGAGTTGAGCTGAAAGACCCCCAAAGCTGCCTGGAGAGCAGAAGCCACTCCGCCCTACCTGGGAGCAACCTCAGAGAGTTGCTGGCACATTTCCCTGTCCTGTTCTCTGTCCTCTCTTCCCATGGTTCTTAATAAGTTTATTTTCTTGTAAATCCTATAATAAATTGATGCCCTGAAAAAAATGATCTCAAGTGCTCTTCTCTTTTGCATTCAGAATTGAACAGTGTGTACTAGGATGCAGTACTAGGAGTAAAACCAAAATCAGCTTTCAAGGCCATCTCAACAGCAACAAATGATTATAAGTGTGTTGGAAGGGACAAAGGCTATGAGCTTCAGACGTAGAAACCTGTGAGTGACCTTCAGACAGTAATGGTATCATGGGAAGCAGGACCAGAAGGAACGTTAGGGGCTGTCAGCTATACTAATTCTGCCCAGAAGGCCACTAAAATAGCATGATGAAGCCCTGTGAACCAGAGAAATGGTGTTAGTGTGGTCCTCAGAATGCCTTGGAGAGAGGGACACTGAGGACACCTCTGAGAGAAGTCAGAGTGGTCAGGGAGGCCTCTCTGAGATGTCCCTGAGAAGCTCAGACCTGAGATCCCTGTCAGAGGCAGCCAGGCCAAGGTCTAGGAGGTGAGAACATTCCCAGTGAAGGGATGACAGTCCTGAGGCACTCTGGGACAGCATTTTCTGCCCTAAATGAGGTCATAATGGGGGAGTTCAGACCAAATGTCAACTAAACCTGGGGATCAGGGTGTGGTTGGGCAGAGACTTGGCTGCAGATGACCACCCACCGGCCACCTCTGCTGAGATGCTCCCAATGATTCAGAGTCAAATCCCAGGGACAAGACTGGTGCGGAGGTCACCAGTTTTGCACATGAACAGGGGAAGGGTTGAGAGAAACCTTCTATTCTCTGTGAGTCTGCTTCATCTGTGATTCACAACTCAGGCCTCAGTGACCCTCCCCACTTGAAGTTCAGATGTTTTGGATATGGGGACCTTTCTAACATTGTTCTGTGACTCTCTCTGGTCCTTTGTGTTCTCTGGTATCTACTCCAAAATCCCTGCTCTGTGGGCACTGTCCCTTTCAAGTATATATATATATATATATATATATATTTAAATCAATCCATTGGTTGCTGGAACCTTAGGGCAAATAGTTCTATATGCTTCCAACAAAGGAAGTTCCAATATAGAACTTCAAGGAAAATGGAAATTAAGACAAGGATAGAGGCTGGGGGTATAGCTCAGTGTAGAGCTCTTACCTACCATGTGTAAAGTCCACCACTAAAAAAAGACAAGTGTGGGTTGGTTCCTTGGGGTCTGTCATATGCCTGCTTTCTCTAGGAATTCTTAGGTGTATTTACCAAGTGTCAAGAGTAGACAGTGTAATTCCTGACTACCTCATACTTTAAAACAAATATCATTTCAAGTTAAAAATAAAACTCTGGGTCAACAGTTTTCAAACACAATTGATGCTTTTGCTAGAACAACCTTCTGACAGCATCTCGGTATTATATTTTAAGTTGTCTGTATACCTCATTTCAGTGTGAGGTTCTGGGAGAGGGGCAGAAAATAATGTTTTCCTTTCTTACTTCAGAGCCAAGTTTGTGACTAATTAATGTTTGTGGAAAACTTGAGTAAAGGAATGTCTGAAAGTTGACCTGTGTGTTAGAATGAAACCTGAAATCAGGACCCAGGCCCATCAATTAGCAGTTTAACAACATTAGTTAAGATACTTTACTAAAATTATAATGGGCTTGAGATCTCTCTTGTATAGCTATAAAAAAATTCTAACTATAAATAGAACCATAACATCTCCCATTCCACCAATTATTGATTATTTCATGGACTTCTACATTAGTTGTCTATTGTTTAGTGACCATTTACCTCAACATTTTAGCAACTTAAAACAAGAAACATTGCTTACCTCACAATTTTGGACTATCAGGACTGCAGGTGTGACTATGACCCACTGTCTCACAAGATTACAATCAAGGCTGGCTGGAGCTATAGTTCTTTCACAGAGAGACCAGAGGAAGAACTAGTTCCAAACCCAATTATTGGACATTGTCAACCGTTGCAACCACTTCGATACTAACATGACTGTTGGGAGAGAGGTATCAGTCCTTTACCACATGAGCCTCTCCAAATGGCAGCTCACAAGATGGCAGATGACTTCATCAGAGTGAATGACAGGGAACAGGAAGAGTACACAAGACAGGGGGCTTTCTTAAGTAACCGAATCTCAAAATCAATAGTACATCAGTTTTGTTATATTTTATTAGTTAAGAGTAAGTCACTAAGTCAGACCCACAGTCAAGGGGAAGGAATTACAAATCTAGTGAATACAAGGAAGTAAGGATCATTGGGGCCATCTTAGAGGTTACCTAAAACAACCTTCTTTCTCATGTCAAGCACTATTTATTGAGGGATGAGTGTTGTCAAGAATTGTAAAATACTTCAAAAGGTAAAGAAAGATTGCTGGATGTACCACCTATCACCCTTTCCAAGTTATCTTAGCCTTTTGTTGACTTTGACCTAGTTTGCAACCTCTACCTTGTAGAAAATTTATAATCATGTGAACTCTTTTATCTATAGAAATAAAAAATGTGTCTCTAGAAACAAAAGAGATGGCTGCTCTGTGGATATTGGTCGCTCAGACATCTAAATGGTTATAAATTCATTTCAGTAACCCTGATAGCCTGTGTCTGTTCTTTACATCCTTGGAACATCTTATGGATTTCCTCATTAATCAAGTAGTTAAATATAATCTTTGACAAGTGTTTGTTATATTTGTTCAAAATCATTCTTTTATATATTTTAGCAATTATCTGCAAACAGCACACAATATAACATCTTTGTATGGCTTTATGTTGAATGTAAATAGTAAATCAAAATCTTTAATATGAGTAATAGTATGATACGTAATCTACCCATTTCTTCTGCCTCACCTCTACCAACTTCCTCCCTTTTGCTTTTGCTATTCTAATGATTTCTTTTGTTCTTCCACATCCTGGGCCCTTTCCTAACTGGACTCTTTACCAGGTCTCTGACTAGAGCTCTTTGCCCTCGCTGTCTTTTACCCCTTTACTATGTAACTACTAGCCATCAATTGCATGGTCTTACCTGACTGTTTCTGCCTTAATGTTCTCGTTCTATGTTCTGTTTCTATGTCCTCTGGCTATAGCTTAGCCAAATATAAAATTTGAAATATACTTTTTTCTCCTAAATTCAGTCGTCTTTATCAATGGCAAAAAGCAAACATCACCTACACCTCCAAGCATGTATAGTACAATACAGAGAGCTACAGAGTCAAATTTTCACTGTTTCTCTTCTTCATTCAGTCCCTCAGAAATTGATTGTGGATTTTCTCTGGGAAAAAAATTGAAACCTGGCAAGAGCAATGAGGTCCATGTCCCCATGCCTATTATGAATCAATCAATCCCAAGGATTTGGGGTAGAAGAAAAATCTCCCCACATGATTTGTGTTCCTGACAAGGGACTGCCTTTGCAGGACAACAAGTTAGTTTTGACACAGGACTATTATCAGGAATACCCCTGGACATCCATTCTGATATTTTATAAAAAAGCAAAACCAAAAACAGAAATGTCTGCCATAATTAAAGGGCTTTATCAGTCTAAGGCATCTGTGATTTTGCTGATAAATAGACCACGTTTCTCACAAAGTAGTTCTTCTTTTGTACCTTTTCCATCTCCATGTTAGGAAGAAAGAACAGAATTGGGATACTGGAGATACATTCAGTCAATAAAGAGTAATCAATTCACCATAAAGGACTGTAAAATATGTCTGTACTTTCTCTTCTGTGCTTTAATTGAGTGTGAATATCTATGACTTGTGTATTGACATTTCGTTTTACAAATATTGCCATTTTTCTACACCAAGAGGCATGGCTTGTCTCTCAGAGACAAGGCACTATAAACACCAGTTCTACTTTATAATGTCAGATTATAACTACCAACCT